TCATCATCATCATCATCATCATCATCATCATCATCATCATCATCATCATCATCATCATCATCATCATCATCATCATCCTTTTCATTATCATGCGTTTTTTTTTCATCAATTTCTTGATTGACTAATTTACCATTCGGTAACTTTATAGGAAGCCTAACTGACGCTTTTTGCGTACGCCATGAATTATCTTCAGGCCTTCGAGGCTTACGCTCATACGATTGTTCAGCATCCGAGTCATCATTTATTATTTCTTTCTTAATTTTAGTTTTTTTGATTAAACCTGATTTATTTTTGGATAATTCCTCGTCGCTCCCTTCTGATGATCCATTATTAGATTCTTCTTCTAAGGATACAATTTCTGACGATGATAATTCATCAAAGTCTATATCATCTGTTAAGTCCTGTAAAACTTCGAATTTAGACATATTGATATTTGACTAAAAAAAAATTACATGATCTTTTTTCTTGTATTTGATTCGCTTGTGTATTTATGTCGTGCAAACATCGAATCAACCAATAGAATCTTGGATTATGTTTGAAGATAATCTAACACTCAAGTTGATCGAGTTTTATTATCGTTATTGGTTATTTTGATTTGATTTATATATATGAAAGATTCTTATGTTCTATGCATGTATTCACCGATAATTAGTAATAAAATAATGTACCTACACAATGTTTGTTGTATAAATTATTTTGTGCGAGTTCATTTGCATATCTAAAAATACCACGCCTAGAACACCAATTAATTACAAGTTGATGTTTGAATGCATAATGATATTAAGGATATTATCACTTTTATTTATTGCATCCATTTTGGTCTAGTGACCTATCCAAGAACGCGTTCACAAACACGCACGCGTACATACGTCCTTTTTTCGTTCTTTTCTCATCCCGCACCGCATATTCTCTCACTTAATAAATAGAGGGTCTAAAATGCTTATTTTCCCCCACACATTTTTTAAAAAACCTCTCTTATACTCCAAAACCCCCCTCCTGTCTTTCACAATCACCTTCCTTTCCCTCCTCCTACTCTTACATTCCCCTATATTCCGCCTTAGATAAAACTCGCATACTTTTCTTCCTCCTTATATACATACATAAATAGAAAATATGAAGACTGCACTTGTTCTTACTCCTTTCTTTATTCTCTTTGGCTTCAGTGCTGCTACAGATTTTAACGTGAGTAATAGAAGTTAAAAAACTTGACCTTATAATTTCATTCAATGCTTTATGCACATAGACATAATCATATATTCATATATTTATGTAGTTAATCTCACCGTGGGGAGAAACCAAATGGGAGTCTGGCCAGGATGTATCAATAGTATGGGGGGTTTTGACAAAAGGTGCCGAAGCATCTGCGCCTGATGTTAAAACATGCAATCTAGGTAATTATTTTTCCCCTAGCCAATTAACCGCATAACACATGTATTAATAATAATACTATTTAAAATAAAAAATAGATCTTATGCAAGGTAACTTCGACAATGCCAACTTAGTTGCCCATATTGGTAGCAATCTCGATGTGAATATGGGTAAATACTTGTGGAAGAAAGTTCCCGATTACCCATCTGGCTCGGATTACTTTGTCCGTGTTGGTAATCCTTCCTGGTGGAGGTAAATTATTTTTTTTTATTCCGAGCTTGTTCATGATGATATACTAATATAATATATTTGCTGTTATTAGATATGGTCATGCTTTCACTTTCAATGGCAAGGGTACCGTAAAATCATTGGCACAACCTGGTAAGCATGATATTAATTATTGATTCAGAGCATACAGTCAACGAATATATATAATTAAATTTTGTTAATTATTTAAACAGCATTCAATGAAAGTCACGGCGCTGCCAGTGGACCTGATGCTATTAAAAGCACCAGCTCAAATGCACTTACTAATTCAACAAGCAGCGACAGCAGCAACAGCACCACCAGCAGTAGTAGCAGCAGCAGCAGCAGCAGTTCGTCAAGTGCCTCCTCCTCAGCATCATCCAAACCGACTTCAGCTTCTGATCCACAAAAATCAGCTGCCACCACCACCATCAACACCGCTTTGTTTGCTATTGCATTGACTTTTGTCTCTGCTTTGTTCAACCTTTAAAAAATCCATAGAATTTCCTATTATTATTGTTATTATTAATTGATCTATTATCAATCAATTATTAGTTAATTTAATTTAGTGTATCATAATAGTCATATAATAAATGATAATAACGATGATAGTTTAGAACCACACAACCCATTAATAAAACATTCAAATCGCGTCTTTCTTTAAATTTTTGTCGTTGCAATAATTATCACTTATTAAAAAAAAGAAAAGTTTTTATTCAATTAATGTATTGTACTAAAGAAACAAAGGATTTTGAGGTTTAAAATGTTAAAATGAATACTTTTTTTATTTTGTTTGGATTAATATTGATGGAGATAAAAATTTTTATCGAATGTTCCGTTTCTTTTGTATATTTTTTCGCAAACTTTTAATATCGTTCCATGATCAAAATTGGTCTTCATTATTAAAATAAAATAATTATTCCTTGTTGAATAATGAACGTAGAAATGAATACAATCAGGTCTCGATTTAGTAACGTGGTGATTTAATGATATTTGCATATACCCAGTTCAATCTATATAAACTTGGCTTGTTTTACCGAAAACTGACTATATTCTCGCGATTTGAGACACAAGACAATGATTTTGTGAAGCGTTATTATTTAACAAAAAACTGATTCGGATTGAGCAACATTATTATCTAATTATATATTATAATATATAATATATATATAAATACAATTATTGTTATAGTATTTTTAAAAATATTTTGACAACAGATTATTTTAGCTATTTTTATGAACTTTTTTGTCGAGATTTAAGATCTCGATGGTCAAAATCTCGGCTATATAGTAAATAAATAGTCGAATTAGCCGAGATTTTGACCTTCATAATCTTAAATTTTGAGCTGATTTTATGAAAATTAGTGCAGGACATTCTTACTAAATCCTGCTTCTCTATCATTTTATAAATTTATTTTTATTTTATCATGATAAATGAAAAAATTAATAGATTTTCATCCACATGGAACTTCTCATAAAAGACTTGCAATTTCAATAAAACTTTGTTTTTTATTGTTTTATTACTTATAATCAATGTGAATTTTTTAGACCAAAAACTCTAAAACATTATTATTAACTTTTGTGCTATAAGCAATTTGTTAGAAATTTTTTTTATAGATTACTGATATGAAAATATGATTAAAATAGATATTGATCAATATTTCTATTGATATTTCCAAATTCCATTATTATCTGAGTGTAATCAGAATTAATTTCAGAAATTTTATTTGATATTTTTCTAGATTTATATTTCACTATCACATCTGCTTTACTTTTGTGTGTAATCCATATGAAATTATTTCTAATCCATTCTTAAAGCTTGATAAATTTAATTTTAAAGAAAAAATTTCTCTCAAAATCTAAATAACTACTTATATCAAGAGTAATTTGTATTAAAATAATATATAATTTATTATTTATTTGTGAGATCAGTAATTTATTAATCATTTCTTGATTTTAATAATATGATAAATAAAACATATATTTCTCTTCATTCAAAGAAAATCTGATTTCTTTTTATTATAAAATTATATATTGATGAACTTAAAATTTATATAATTTGTCATAATTCTATTCTTGAAAATGCTAGCAATACACATCTTTTTCAAAAAAATTCTTTAACAAATGAATTATTTTTGAATTACTTTATATAACTGATTTATTTTATATCTGTAAATATTCTAATTAATTTTTTTATAGAAATAATTAATCATGCAATCTTATACTAATATACAGATAATGATCTTTATTTTTAATGTAAAAGAAATAATAATTAAAATTATTAACTTTATAATTACTTGTAAAATATCCTTTTGTCAAAAATAATAATATTAATTTAATATAATTATATAAATAGAGAAGATTAGTTTTTATATAGCTTATCAATCACAAAGAAACTTAAAAATACATATTATTTCCATATATAATTATTGCTTTTTAATAGCAAAATTTCTGAATAATTATGATTTTTGTATTACTGATCTAAGAAAGGTAATATTTATATTTAAATTATTTTTATTTTTATATTCATATTTATATTTTTATATAGCTATCATTGACTGATACAGTCAAATCTCTCTATAGTCACATCTATTTATAATCACACCTCTCTATAGTTATCCTATTTTACTTTTCCATTTACATATAAACATAGTAAAAAAAATCTCTCTATAGTCACATTCTCTCTATAATCACCAAATTTTGCTTTTCCAAGGGTGGTGACTATAGAGAGATTTGATTGTACTTTGGAAAAGCTTTGATAACTATCATATTTATTTTCATTAATTTCTTATTAAAGTTATATTTAATTCGTTATTTTATTATTTGATATTTAAATTATAAGTTTTGATAGTTTAGTAATCTGAGTTTTCACTTGAATACAGGCATTCATCATATTTCAGAAATATTATTATAAATAATAATACTGAAAATAGTAACAATATAAAAATATAAATTTAATGAAATAAAACAAGTTTGATTAATAATAAAATTAGAATCTGATTATATATATATATTTTTAACTTTTGCTATAATTAATAAGTTTCAACTTCTTAAAATACTCTGAAATAATTATATATAAATCTTTATAATATTGTATTTAAATAAGATTTTTATTATAATTCTCTTTTGAGATTAATTGTTTTTTCATTTTGTAAAAGTGCTTTATATATTATTCATGTTGCTTATTTTGTATTTCATACTGTAAATAATAAATGTCAAGTTCTAGTTCTTGAGAATACTTTGGTGCTTTCAAGAAATCTAATTGATAAATGCTAAAAAATGAATCAAGAATTTTGTTATAATTTCATAATATAAATCTTCATGCTTATTTAAGCAATATAAATATTAGAATTTAGCATGTTTTATATTATTAAAGCTTGCAAGTCACTTATAACTCTTACTATATATTCATTGCATAAAAATACAGAAATTTATATATTGTGTAGAAAAACACATTATCTTTATTTTGAGCAAATTTCTCAACTTCTATAAGATTACAAGAAATGTTTCTAGCATATTGCACACATTATCTATCTTTATTTTTTATTCTAATAAGAGATATGATCCATTCATGATCTCTAGCACATCTCCAAAGCATTGGTGTATTTACATTAACATATTCTGTAAAAAGGTATTTATCATCTCATTCTTGTGCAATATTGTTGACACAAAGTGCTCTTAATGATATTCTTAGCTGAAGCTTTCCATTTATGTCCTTTTTTGCATGTTTTTTCCTTTAAAGTTATATTTCTGTGATTTGATTTTTAAATGCGTTCGGTAAATTCAGCAATACGGAATATCAAATATTTATCAAATTATAGTTAACAATATAACAGAATTTGATTAAAAGATACCCTTTCTTACATGTTTAAAAAACCATTATACCAGTATCAATAATCATACTTACTATCTTTCATAATAATCACGATATACATTTTCTGCAAAATTTACCAAATTCTTATACTTGTGGACGAGTTCATGTAGCTCCTTGTCAGATGATGTGACAGGAATCGAAAGTATAGTGTAGATGTAGGAGAATACGACGGCATCAATCAATTTTGGTGAACTTCTCGTTGCAATCATTATGCCCATCAGATGAATGGATGTAAATAAATCAAGACGCTAATACATTACTCACTATAAAACTATAAAATAAAAAATATACCTAGATCCGAAAAAGTATTTACTATCTTCTAACTCGACAGAGAAAGCTTTTAATGCCTCATCCGCTTCTTCATATATCTTAAAATCACGAAACAAATCACAAATATATTTCTATTTAGATGTACTTTATTTATAAACATACCTCATTAGCGTTCAAAATGGGTTTTCTAGTCAACAAATCACCTATTACAGCTTTTCTCGCTTTATACATGAGAATAGTGTCTAGTGGTTTCGGGTAATGACCACCGTATTTATGAAATGTCACTTTTTCGTAATTGGCAGGTTCACACCACAAGTAAAAGAGCTTTAATGAATATATTGGTAATAGTGATTATAGTAACGATAAATTAGAGCCCGAATAAATTTAACTTTTTTATCTTTTAGAATAAGAAAATCATTTATACCAAAGCATTACGCAGTTTCGTGTCTGCTAGGCAGATGAAAGGTGTCTCTGGATCTGGTGTAGAAGCTTCCGTCTAAAAATTGAGGAATTCGGATTGAGAATGTCGAGCTCACATTCATTGTTAAACACAGGCAAGAAAGGAAAGAATAATTACATCATCTTCTGGTCTCTGTTTATTTTTAATAAATTCGGGGATTTTATCAGAGGTAAAAATATCACCAGGCGAAGTATACAAAAGGGGAAGCTTGCCTCCAAGAAAAAAGAATTCGTACATCAAAAAATTATCACTATTTTCCATTGAGTATTATTAACGTGATGGGTTATCAAATACCTGACGGTGATATGAGAGGCTCGTTCACATTTTTCACTTTAAAATCAATTTTGTTAAACAATAAAAACGTCTAAAAAATTTATTGGCTAAGACATATTAAATAATTTAAGAGTGTACACGTTGTTTTCATTACCTGCCACTGTAAACATTCTTGGTCGAAAGAAGCCTTTTGTTGACTTCCTTCCCACCCTGGTCCCCAAATATACAGTATCGGGTCATCAATATCCGGATTTTTATATAAGGATTTACTAATACGGAGTGGAAAGTGCGAGAGGAAACGAAGAAAACTTTCTTGTATATGGTTTCTGTGTTCTGTTATATCAACTTCGCTTGCCATTTTCTCGCGCGAATTTAGGTAAACAAAAATTATTTGTTTATGAATTTTTTTATATATAAATCAATCAAGTGACTTTTGATAAGCAAATCAGAGAATATGGAGTACCAAGTCATTGCTTCTTTTGTCAACAACTCGAAAAGCCGCGCCTTTCGCAACAGCAATCTCGACAATCTTGACAACGATGTACAACCACCCCCTCATCGCTCTCCGAATAGCTTTGACCTTTTTTCTCACGGTTCGGAGCCCGAAAACCCTATGATGATTTCTTCAACCGAAACAAACCATCAAAATTTACAAGAACAAAAAGGTGCAAGTTCGCAAGAGCCAATAGTTATTTCTTCAGACGACGACGATAACAACCACCACGAAACAGACGAAGAGTCTGGTCTATTTTCTCCTGACCCAATTAACAGAACCTATACTAATGATACAACTGAGGGATATTTCTCTTTTGAAGACACTGACAATGACGATGATTTGGAGAATGTATTATTTGGGAGTCCTGCAAACAGGACAAATGAAACTGAAACAATAGAGAGAAAGTTTAATTCTTTGTTGTCTCATAATGAGGGTAGTGGTAGTATTAGTAACAGTAACAATAATTTTTTTACACAGGACCAGAATTATGAAGTAGGAGGACGAGCAGAAGGGATAAAGCCTTTCTCCGATAAAATCGAAGATAAGAATAGTACTACTCCTCAGACTTCTAGTAAATTAAAGACTTTGTCTAATAAAAGAAAGAATAGCAGTGAATTTCAAACATCTCGTGTTATGGCTAATGGTAACGCTCAATCAGGAATCATTCCGTTCCGTTATGACGAAGTGGTACGAAATAAAAAAGAACGTCGTCAATTGATGGCAGTTTCGTGTCCTGATTGTTCAAAGGTATTTATCTAATTATCCGTGCGTATAAAATAAAATATACTATATGCTGGATCTATTAAATTAATTACGATTCAACATTCTAGTATTTTGAAATGACTAGCTCTACTCAACTTCCAGATTATGTAAAACCTGTTTGTCGTCATCCAAATAAGACCAATGACAATGACAACAGCAATAACTCCGATACGACCAAAAATGATCGTATTCAACTTCTCTCACGTCACAGACAACGATTCTCACGTGCGCCTACTCCACCCGGATTCTGGACAATTGGCTTTCCGTCTTTATCCGACGAAGAGAAAAGAAAAAAAGAACTGGAAGAATATAAAAGGAGAAGAGAGGCACGAAAGTTAACTGAAGATGAATGGGAGAGATCTAGAAAACGACGAAATACATATCGTAACAGAGTTTATGGAAGTCATATTTCAAAGAATTATAAATCTTCATCATCAAAGTAATTTATTTGCTTTACTTCTCTGCATTTGAATCTTTAATTGTTATGTTATAGATGTTATTATTATTTATTATTAGTATGGAAAATTGTTTAGGATAACTGTTGATTGTTTCAATAAACTGAATTCCATTTGATTATTTAACAATTTTAATGATCCATCAGTATCGATATATGTAATTAATTAAATAAATTTGATTGGCGAATCAAATATATCGTGATCAACAATAAAAGTAATACTGACGCGTCACTATTGAACCTTGTCTTTTCACACGTTAAAAATGGTTCAACCGTACAGAATCCCCGAAAATCGAATGGGCAGGCGAAATCAGCCCCAAGTAATAGCGGACAACAACACAGGAGTGGCCAGAAACCGCTTTAGCCGTAGAGAAAATGCAGCAACGCGTCAAAACCAAACACGACAAACTAGTAATTATAGTACAATTTCAGAAACTATACTTAATTCTGCCGGAATTCCAATTCAAAGGGAGGTCATTTTGATTCCTGATGATGACGAAGTGGAAACATCAACAACAAATAATAATACTGGCGGAGACTCTTCTACCTTGGTAGAAGTCATCGAAATACCAGACAGTGATAGTGAGGAAGAAGACAACGATCCGGCGATAGAATTAATTTATATTTCGGATGTTAGTGATACCAGTTATTATTCTTACGATGAGGAAGAAGAAGAAGAAGAAGAAAGGATTTACATTCCTGAAGAAATATATCAAAATTTCGAACTACCAGGTAAATCTTAAATTATCTTGAAATATTTCATTAATCTTAATCTTAATTTTTCATTTTTTTTTTACTTTATAATAGAGAATTTATTGAGAAGAATAAGAAACGTAGATCACGAAGACGTAGGTTATGTTTTAAGTCTAAGACCAGTAGAACAGCGTTCACCTTCCCCTCGTGAAGGTTTCACCACGAATTTGACAGAAAATTTAAATCTGATCTGTTCCGAATGCAACCAACAGTTAACAAACGGAATGTGTGCCTTATTTTGTGGACATGTAGTGTGCGGGAGTTGTGGGGATGCTTTCGAATTGGGCGAGAAAACTAATTGCTCAGTTTGTGGAGAGGTCGTATGTCTTTCAGAAATTACACAACTTTATGTTTAATTTTCTGATGGGGAACTTATAACATAGGACATTTGCGAAACTTTATAATGGACGTTTTCGAAGAATTTATCGAGTCCCTTTATTTAATTATTGTAAGTAGTTTATTTCGGAAACATTTGGTTGATCGGTTTATATGGTTATTTGGAGTATTTTTTTTGATGATTTATTTGGACTACATGTTGGACGAATAGCTAGCTGGCCGATAGAATCTCTTTCTATATTTCTTTAATCTTATTAGAAAAGTTTGGAACTTGAAGGTATTCTCTCAAAAATTCCTATCCAACTGCTCTCAGTTTCGTTTGAGTACAAAAGCTTGGCATCAAGACTTTCAGGTTATCACAACAATCCAGCAGAAGTTTTTTGCTGATAATACTACTTATCCTAAAAATCTACGAAGAAAAAAGCGAAATATCAAAAACAAAGCGTAAGCCGAGAGGCAACATAGCGTGTCTAGTGAATCAATGCAACACTAAAGATGAAGTAATCGAACCTCATTGGTTCTATTGAGCTGCCGGTGATAAACCCATTGTAGATAACAATTGATGATTTTCAAATAGCGAAGTATAGGATAGCATATCCACAGGCATTCAAGTTGTTGGAGTGATTAGGCAGAGTTAAAGAATGAGCCGTATCTTCTTTTCTCAAGAAAACTTTTGTACGCGTAATGAGTTTGACTTAGAAATCGTCGCGGAAATAGCATTGCGAGTAAATCAGTGAAATTTAGAAGATCTCAATCATCAGCCCAAATTAGACTAGATTAGAGTAAGTGCAAGAGTTAGGGTTAATGCCGGGAGATAAGATTACTGTTGACCGAAAAATTCTAAGTCCACACACACTAAGTGGATTCCGATATCCCATTCCCATTTAGAACACATGTAAGGCTCAAAATTGGAAACAGAGAAAATTAGAAAAATCTAAAGATGAAAAATCAAAAAAAAACAAGGACCCGCTAGTTCAAACACAAATAGGGAGTTCATAGTAATGAAATCGCCAAAGGTAAAAAAAGAGACAAAAAGTCAAATCCTGCCTATACAACTTGAAGAAGCCAAACTGTCTGAGCTCCCGCAAAATCAAGACATCTTAGAATTTGAGTGTAATAAGAGTTTCAAAATTCTTTGCCAACTTGGCAAATCCAGATCCCGCAAATCAAGAAACCTTAATGATATCCGTAAGCAAAACTGAGAGGATCAAACTGTCGTTATGAAGAATCCAAACTCCCCAAAATCAAGAGATCTGGAATCAAAGCTCTCAAGAACAGCAATAAGAAATAAAAGTCACGGATATAAAACACCGTCGCTGATTGTGTTAACAGAAAGATGAGAATATCCGGATTTCCTGATCAAATTAAGAGTCATCATGCGAGTCTGGTGCAAGCAGTCTAATACTTTAAACTATAAAGGATTTGTATCCAATACTTTAATTACCTTTTGATAAGAACTATAATATAACAGATTTTTTTTGTACAGTATAATATTAGAGATCACTTTTAATAAATTTTCAGCACTGACTATATTACATGAACAATTTTTGATTGGTTGGATTTCTTCATGCAAAAATACATGATTGTTTTCACATAAAAAATCACGTGAAACATGATTCACATTATATGTACAGTCGAATCTCCAGTCACATATAAGTAAAGCTCTGTTCGGGTCTGGTCAACCCGATCTGATAAATTCAGATCGATTCGGGTTCGTATCGGGATTTGATTTGAAAATCGTAAAATAGTTTTTCGTTAATAACGTTTATTTTTACTAAGACACTTGTATTTGTGTCTTTCGGAATGTAATTGTGTATATATCTACAAATTTTCATTCAATTTGAATTAATATTGAATGACTTTTAGTCTGATTCGAAATATTTTGAGTTATATTTGACACTGACCCGACCCGAAGTGTGCGATTCGGGTCGGATCACAGATTTGATCCAACCCGATTGGAGCACTATTAGTATAGTATTATAGTATTAATAAGAATATTATTTAATATACTGTATATAGTGACAATTAAAAAATAATGCAATGCAAAAAAAATTTATTAATAAAACAGTAAAAATACAGATTTTTCTCTATATAAAAGTTTTTAATTTTACTCATAAATATTTTTTAATTTTATCTCAAAATAAAGATAATATATATTTTTTTCAGATTTTTTAGATTTAATTTGACAAAGTTGTTCTAATTGCATATAAAATCAATAATTTTTTATATATTTTTATTATTAACATTATATATGTGCAATTATAATAACTTGTCAAATTAAATCTTCATTTTGAGATAAAGTAAAAAATATTTATTAGTAAAATTAAAAACTTTTATATCATTTTTGTTGTTACTGTAGTATAAAAAAATTATAAAATTATACAATTTCCAGTAAAAGTAATAACAAATGTGTTTTTTGCTTATATTTTAATAAGAAATTATTTAGAAATTGTGAAAATTTGTAAATATATTCTTTAAAATATTAGAAACAAGTTTTTTTAATATTATAAAACATGTTAATATAATAAAACATGTTAATATAATAAAATTTTGCAAAATTTCATATTAAAAGTAATAAATTAAAAGATTTTATTTTGATGATTTTTTAATATTGTAAATATATTTTTTATATTATAAAATATATTAAAATATTAAAATATTTTTAAATAATTTTTTATTTAAATATTAAAAATTTTAATTTATCACTTTTAACACAAAATTTTACTATAATAATGTATTTTATAATATTAAAAAAACTTGTTTCTAATATTCTAAAGAATATATTTACAAGTTTTTATAATTTTTCATTAAGTTATAAGTAAAAAATATATTTATTATTATTTTTATTAGAAATTGTACATGTAATTTTTTTTATAAAATATAATAAAAATTAAAATTTTTATATTATATAAAAGTTTTTAATTTTATTAATAAATATTTTTATTTTTATATCAAAATAAAAATTATAATTTATATTTTAATATATTTAATTTAACAAAGTTTTTATAATTAAAATATAAAATTAATTATAAAAAATTTTTGTATTAATTTTGCAATTAAAAAACTTTGTTAAATTAAATTTAAGAAATTTAGAAAAAATATATTATTATAATTTGATATTTTTTTATAAATTTAAATTTAAATTTCAGCTCAAAATTTAATTTAACTTGTATTTTTTATTAAAGATTTAATTTTTAATAAGAAAAAATTTGTTATTTGTTATTTTTTTTAATTTATTTTATTAATTAAAATAATCAGTATTTTATAATTTCTTATTTTAATTGCAAAATAATTATATTTTGTCTTATAATCTTTTATTTTAATTATAAAATTATAATTCTTGTAATTAATTTCTCATTTTAACTATAAAGTAGTGTTGTCACAGGACAGCTTTGAACATGCCTTTGAACAATCTTAAACATTTTTGCCAAAAAAAAAATCAAATTTACTCAAAATTTTATTAAAATAACCTGTTTGAACACTTTAATTAAAAATGTTTAGAATTTCTCCTTGTATATAATCATATATTTTTTATTTGATTTTTTTTAATAATATAAGAGTTTGAACACTTGGACATTTGGATGTTTGAACATTTGGACAATCGAAAAAGTGCTTGGATATCCAAAATGTATAATACTGCTATAAAGTCATAGTTTTATAATTGAATTAAGAAATAAATAATTAATATTCTACTTGTTTATAATTAATTTAAAAAAATATAATTATTCTTGAATATTTTTGATTTTATTTTAGCTGATTAACAAATAAATATATATTATCAATTTTTGAATAATATATTTTCTTTTTCACTTGAAATTATTTTATATATAATTTTTATTTAATTTAATTTTATATATTATTTACATATTTTTCTATAACAAAACTAAAATTATATAAAATAGTAATAATAATACATTAAAATATAATTTAAATATAAAAATAAAAATAAATAAAAACTAAAAAATGAAAAAAAACCAAGTTTTTATAATGGAAGAAACTAAAAACTATTAAAGATAAATAATATATATTTATGTTGTGATAAGCTAAAAGATGTCTAATAACTTTACTAAGTTTTATGTATTTATTTTAAAATTTTAAAAGTTATAATACAAACAATAAGTTTATCATATGACTATCTTTCAAATTATTAAAAATAATTTATTATAAGTAATCCATCATTTATCTTTCAAGATCAAAAACTAATACAAATATAACTATACAAGTCATCTGAAATTATTAAAAATCTACTAAAAACTTATTGATTAATTCTAATATAGAGAAATCTAAAATCTAAGAAATCTATCTAAAATACATGTTATATTTATAATAATTACTCATAATATTCATATTACTAATTTATAAATTAATCTTATTAATATTGTTAATATTGTTAATTTTATAGATTAATTTTATTAACAGTATTAATTTTATAGATTATTTGATCACAAGTATCATAATTTACTATATAAAGCATTCTGAATATATTATATTTTCCATAGAAAAAATTAATTTATATCCAGAAGGATGTGTTATACAAAATTGATTATATTAAATGGTGATTTCTTGTAAGGATGCATTATAAGGAGAGTATATTATAAAAATTATTTTTTAAATTAGATTATATGCATATTATGTATATTTTAGATAATTAGATAAATTATAAGTATTATTATATATTTCACATATAATTTTCTTTAACGAAAATAGATTTACAAAGAAAAAATATTATTATATTCAAATAATTAAATTCAACATGAATTATATAAATAAAAATATGTTTTTGTTTAATTCTTTTTATATATTTAATATTATAAAAAATGGTATGATATCAAAATAATCAAAAATGAACAACAATTACTATGAATAAAAAAACATTTATAGAATATCTGAAAAAAATAGCTATTCTTATTTATTTGAATAAAAATTTTTTTGTAAGTATTCAAAAAATTTGATATTTAGCCTAATTAAATTCAAATATGATATGATCCGGTGCAAAAATGTTGATACATGAAAAATAAAG